AATAATAATGTCAATTAAATGAAATAATAAAAAGTTACTTTTCACCCATTGATAGTCGTCATTGGGTTATTGTTTATCGTTTAACCCCATCGATCGCTATCACCACCACCACCACCACCAATCCCAGTGTGCTCCACCCCGACCTTCAAACATCCTTATGCATTTTTTTGACTTGAAAATCAATTAATAATAATGACGATTATTATTATTATTATTATTATTATTATTATTATTATTATTATTATTATTATACAAATATGAATGATAGTCGTAAAATATATTTTTAATCAGTTTTGCATATTGTAATTTTTTTAAATTTTTCTAACCTGACTTTTTAGTAAATAAAAAATTTCAGACTGATTTTTTTTGTATTTGTCTTCACTTATTTGTTTATTATCAAAGTAAATAATCTGATCTCAATTTATAATTTATATGAATAGTTGTAAAAGGGAAATGACATTTCACTGTCTCACTATGGAACTGTAATGCATTAAGTAGTTTTAGTGTATTATTTAAATTGAACAGCTGGATAATAACAAAGTCACATTATATTAGAACTGTTTTTAATGATGTGATAGTTAAGTGATTTGTGGAGACTTTTATTTGTCAAGTTGAAAAACGCATTACGTTATGAATTGACTTTAACAAGATAACTAATTAAAATCAGGGGTGATTGGACAGTGGTGTAGTCTTAGTATTGAACTCCTGTGTATTATACACCCATGATCTAGTTATGGATACAACTCAAGTACTCCAGACGTTGAGTAGACAACATTACTTGTATAGGAGTAAGATACCATCAGTTAGTTCGCAGTTTCAACCTCAGTAAATTTTTATTGAGAGAACATTACTCATTACCACAAGATGATACTTACATCAATTTAACATAACTGAGTTCACTAGGCAGTTGTTTCGTCTTAGAAGAGGAATTTGTATCATCCCAAATCCATAGACTCACTGGAGATCAAAGCAAGGTCTAAAGGTTCAGTGCTCGATGTGAGGCTTAAAGGTGTTGCGTTCGATTTTCAGTGGAGTCGTGTATTCTCACTGCTGAGGTGCTAGAACGAAACATCTGTCCAATACTCCCTAGTTTTCATTAGTCTAATAACTAAGGTCAGTTTGTGATGTTAATCGTAAAATGGGATAATCTCCTCGAACTCAATCGATCAAGATCTCTTACTCGTAATTTGAGAATTCATTTAAATCTTAAATACTACTGAGCAATATGTACTTAGCATAATATGTCAGTATTCTGCAACTGATTCCGTATAACATCATGGGTGTGCACTTTTGAACCATCGCAAACAACGATGTGATAACTCTCCATTACTCTATACATGGCCAGAATTTATTTTCCTGATATTAGACTGTAAAGAAAATTCACCAATTTTTTTAAGTTTAGTGTTCATATTTGATAAGTCATGCTACCAACATGCTTAAACTGTTTTCCTATTCAGTTCTGACATCCTTAACTACTTCTACACGTCAACAGAAACACTAAAGAGAAAGTGTGAAATGTGGATAAAAGTTTCACCCCAAAGTTAATTTATGTACAGAGAAATGTGGGTATTTTTATTATTACATCTGATCTTGGGCTTCCGGAAATTTCTGGAACCATACCAAATATAGTAACAGTGTAGGTGAATATTCAACCAAAACCGTGGCACGTGACTCCGTATTTTCCAGATGATTAGATAAAAAGTTTCCTGGTGTTTCTGGACCTCGAGGAACTTGATAAGAGATATTTTGGGGACTCCTCCAACGATATTAAATTCAAATTCACTAAAAACTGCAAATTTTATATGCTTTACGTACACTGACTACCCTCAGCATTAAATAAGTTACTACTGAGTATAAGATCGCAATTAGAGAGATATTTTTTCAAGTTAAAGATAGATTACAACTTCAACTGACATCACATCGGGAGAACTAGTGAAAACCAGAGGCTATTCTACAGTCCCGGTAGATAGTGGGAGCAAATGTTAGTGTTCTATTACCAATGTGTAAACTACATTGAATCGTAAATGAATAACAGGCAATCTTAGAATGTTTAATTACCATTGCTGAGTAAATCACATTCTCTGGTTCAAAGAATATAGTGTAATAGTAAAACCAGTTGATTGATAATAAAACTCTGGCCGGTATTAGCATATGGGCATTTGGAATAGATGACTCGATATTGTGTTATTTTTTTATGTCAACATACTCTTGGCGACCTGCTTAAACATCTGGGTTACCTGCTCCTGTCAACTAGATATTTCAACAAGTTATCTAATTTTGTTTGTTTTATTACATCATTATGGCTATTAATCACACAACCTATGCAGGTGCGTTTCTGAAAAGTGTACAACCTTTCGCTGTAAAGGTTACAAAAGACCTAATTAGAGATATAGTGGTTGCTGGCAATATGCAGCGAAAAGAATGTAAATTATTCAGCTGTCGATTGATTGGACTGCTAACTTCTAACTAACGATCATTCAATATTCGCCAACAGGATCGATCAAGAAACTAGAAAAGGAAGGTTGTTGAAATACTTTGTGCTAAGAATTCTATATTGTACCAAAAATACAATACCGAATAAAGTTAACAATAATAAAAATAAAAAACAAAATAAATGGGCGCACCTGAGTGAAAAACCATAGGTAGGACAAAATATTTTCTAAATTCCGCCATTAGCCACAACCTAAATGCACTCTATTCTCTTCCATTGGTTTCCAACTGTAACTGTCCTTATTATTATTATTATTATTATTATTATTATTATTATTATTATTATTATTACTAAGAATCGTTTGTTTTATATCGTATTAATTAGCTTTCATTGTTTAAATGGAACTTGTTGATATATAAGTCGGGGTCATCGAGTGATCAATGATGATATATGACTCAGAGTGCATGTAATCTTCGTCCACCCTTAGACTATGAACTTTAATATTAGCCCACACTCTTTATTCCTCGAATTTATTCCTTCCCGATAAAATTCGACCAACAATAAAAGTCTAAGCAAATATTATATTAATCACTTCTCAATGGTCAGTCAGTTGTAAATATATTTCAGTCCTAGAGGACATCAACCGCGACCGGGATAGTTCAGTGGTAATGTCCCGGACTATGAAGCTGGATAGCACGGGTTCTAATCATCTAGGGAATACCAGTACCACCAAGATTACAGATATACCTTGCCGATAAGAATTAACTGGTGTGAAACCAAGGTCGAGCAGAGTTTCTTGTCAAATAACTCTGCCCACCTACCCGACTGAAATCCATATATGAACCCATATGATTTATTTCTACTAATGGGCAGTCAGATTTTCTATAAATTGATAGTAGTACTGCATGAACAAAAATTTACAACAACTTAGTATTATAAGCAAAAAACGTATCCGACTTACTAAGTTATATAATTACTTCTAACAGTTCTAAACTATGCTAAGAAGCCCACAAACTAATTTCGAAATAGACTTATAAATGATCACCGTTCCCTAGTTGATTTGATTGTATGATTTTTACTTAAAATAACTACCTATCAGAGATTGTCGAATTGACCCAGTTAATTTCATTGATATCATGAACTGATCTAAGTTAGGTAACCATTGAGAACCTGGACACAATGGATGACCATTCGTCCTAAAGTGGGGCTCCTCGGTAGAGTGGTTCCATGACTCCACATGCAGGAATGAACAGCTTTAGGTCAATTAGTCCAGTACACTAAGAATCTAATTGCAATGTCTCGACTAGAACTTTACTTAATTTTTAGATATTATGACGATCTGAATGCTTCGAATTGCTAATTAAATCGTTTCTTTTCAATTTAAACCGAATAGAATTCAAATAAAAAATGATCAAGATTTTTGCATCGCACTATGTATCTTCCCAAAATAATCTTGATATAAGTGAACTGTTCTTGATCAAAGTATGGAAGTAGTATTGTTGAAATCTTTCTAAACAATATTCACCCTTTGTATCATGTTAAAACATAAACCTGGAATTGCCAAATAGATTATTTTTATTGGTATTTCCTAACACAATTAGACTTGTCAATTTTGTAGATTTTTGATACTTCTACATTATCCGATATTGTTGATAAGAGTGTAATTTTTCAGCCCATTTTAAGTCAATCTAACAAAACAAGTAGAGTCATTCATTAAGTTGACTTAAAATTTAATTTCAGGTGTTGAGGATTAGCTTTAATACTCGATTAAACTAATCGACATAAGTGAATAGATTTCGAATTGACAATTCAATATTTCAGAAGGGGTTTTTTGTGGAGATTTAGTATTTCCATAATTGAAAGTGTAAGTCAATTGAAGCTGAGGAGTCCCACAACAAATGGAAACGGCCGCCCAGTGCTTTTAAGTTTTCCCTGGTAGTCTAGCTTCAATTGACTCATACTTTCAACTATGAAAATTCAATATTTAAAAAAAGTTTAATGTTTTCTTAATTCATATACTATGTACAAACTCATCTAATCGGTTTTACTCTTCACTGTTTGTGTGAAGTTTAACGATAGGAAACTATACAAAACGACATATGAGCGAACCTAGGAATTCAAACCAGAAAATTAATGTTTGAATATTTAATAGTTGAAATCATGAGTCAATTAAAGTTAGATCACCATGGAAAACTGGAAGCACTGGACGGCCGCTTCGTCCTATTATGAGACTCCTCAGCAGTGCACATCCACGATCCCGCACTCGCGAGATTCGAACCCAGGACCTACCAGTCTCGCGCCATAGCACTTAATCAATAGATCACTGAGCTAGCATCCAACGGCCATCCAGTGCTTCCAGGTTTTCGATGGTGGTCTAGCTTCAATTGACTCATGATTTCAACTATGAAAATACTGAAATCTCCACAAAACCCCTTCTGAATATTTAATGTTTTAGTCAATATAATAGACATAATAATAGGTAATAACTTAGATTCGCTTAGACCCTATTTTTTTGGTCAACTATCAATAAATTGAAATATACAACAACGAAAAGAAAACACAAACAAAGTTATAAAAACGAAAGAAAAAAACTTTATTATTCAATAGTAATAATAACAATAATAAGAGTAATAAAACAGGAATGATACAAACAGCAAAAAACCTTCGTTATTTGTTGTTATTATTGAGCACAATGATCAAACTTAGAAAAAGATAAAAGGAAATTTAATGGCTGAGTAGTAACAAGAAGATTAGACCAGAATAGTAACTACCAGGTCAATTTATCAGAATTATTGTTCTTTTCTTCTTCTTCTTTTTCTTCTTCTTCATCATCAGCATAATCCACACCAACCTCAATGTCACGAACACATAAATAATAATAGTAATAGTAATAATAATAATGGTAATAGTAGTAAGACACCGGTGAAGAAAAATGCATGGATTGTTTTATTTTTACAGTGATCATAAACAATTCTTCTCTATAAGAAAATGACAGGGAAAATACAATATTTAACAACTTGTAATTCGGTATCAATAATCATAAAAGTGTACAAGAATAGTAATAATAATAATAATAATAACAATAATAATAATCGTAATAGTAATGTCACATAATAATACATTTAAAATTGACACTATATATATTAGAAGATTGTGTAATGAATATGTAAAATACAAAAATCAATTCACAATTGTTTCTGGAATACATATATAGTTCTGTTTAGTTTCCTAAGTAACTTTTAAGCTCTCCTAGTTGTTAATTATCATTGTTTTTCGTCTGAGCAGTATATTCATCACATAGAGGTTGATGTGCAATGATTGGAATAATAGTAGTATTGATAAATAGGTAGAAGGACCTCACACACATACATTATACACACATACATACACGTACAGAGGAAAAATGATCAGATAATAGGAATGCAACGTTTGGTTTTCTCTTTAGAATTAGAAAAAAAATTATTACACAATGATGATTACTATCAATAATAAGATTGTTCTTTCCGTAGGTATACATTAATAATAATAGTAATAGTAATAATAATAACGATGGGGTTATTCTTTTATGTAGTCACCAATGTGTATGTGTGTGCGTGTGGGATAGTCATTATTCAATAAAAGTTTCAGTGCACCTAGATACACTTTACAGACATACATATATTTATTTTACATTTTTACACTCTAAACACAAAAACAGAATATTAGCAAGGTATTCTCATAAACACAGAAACAAGACATATAAAGATAAAACAAGAAACGTAACGTATTTGGCGCTTATTTACCAATATTATTGCTATCTCCATTCTCACCAAAAAAAGTGAATAGTATTCTTCAGAGGATTTGAAGGAAAAACAACATGATACATAGAAGAAACAAAGAAAATGCTGGTGGCTGACTTTCAATGATGAAGAATATTTGTTGCTTTAGGTCGTAATTCCATTGAACTTCGGTTTAAATTGACCTCCTCCTCTCTTTAAACAAAGAAAAAACTTAGTTCTTGAAGGAAACAAGAAAATCGTTCGTACATTCTTTTGAAGAAAAGGGGATAATGATAAAAGAATTCAAAAGATAGGAAGAATTTGAGCATACACAAACACATGTACATGTCAATGTAACATAACGAGTAGAGGAATGCGCGACGGAGTACAAAGATAATCATTTTTTACAAAAATAACAGGTAGAAAAACAACGAAAAAACAGAGGAGACTAGTAATAATAATAATATTATTATTATTATTATTTACATCAGTACTGTATAAGATACAAAAAAACGGGCAGAAAACAACCGCCATCGCCACTGAGGTAAGTTAAAATTTAATAATCTACATGATAAAGTGAAGAACACAGTATCAAATTATAGGAAAACAACTCATATATATCGTCAAATGTTTTCGTAAAAACAAAAATCGATTAAAATGTGAACAATAAAATCCAATGTTCAATAAATGAAGCTTGAACCAGTCAATAAACAGTGATAATGTATCATCATCCTACATGTCATGGAAAGTGTAAGCAATATCTTTTGGACGGGAAAAAATACACAGAAATAGAAAATGGAGTATGGGATAAACGGGAACAATGATGTAAATTGTATATTTACTAAAATACTTTTTTTATAAAAAAAAACTACCTTCTCTCGTAACAATAAACAAACGAACAACATGATACAAAAAACAAACAAAAATACATATTATAAATAATTGGAATACAAATAGAAGAATATCGATTTAGAAAACTATTATTATTATTACTGCTACTATTGTTAGTTATGAATAGTCAATCAGTAAGGAATAACGAGAGTAGTCATGTTGTTAAGAGAAATAGTTAAGAGAAATGAGAAGAGAGTACCAAAAGGTTATTATTTGTCAATCAACATGGTATCGATGGTATTTTCATCTTCAAAGACTATGATGTTATGTGTTATCTGATTTCATACAAAGTAGTAAACTAACTGACCAATATAGCAATTAAACAATAAGAACACCATTTGAAAATATGTGCATTTTCAATGTTTACTTTACAATAAGCAGATGATTCAATTGGAGTTCTAAGATTTAAATCAAAGAGAGGAAGATTGAAAGTAAAAAGACAAAGAAGAAGAGCGAATGAAGTGTAGAAGAAATTCACTCATAAAATAAAGAAAATTGATGAAAATTGAATCATGATTGCATAAATTCCATGAATAAATGCATATGATCAATCGGTAAAAGATAAGCAGAAGAATAATAGTCAGAAGATATCGGCGCCAACATGAATACTAACTTTGAAATCAGTGTAATAAACATGAGTTGTATATTGTCTTTTGATCACAAAAATAAGGTGCTGATGATGAATTTAGTGGGCAATAGCCGAAACCACAAAACAAAAAAAACAGGGCAAAAGAGACGAGAAAAACAGAAGGTCAGGGGGCGGGACGGAATGGAAGGAGGGTGTGTACAATTCACAATTATAAACAATACTTCATTAGTAAATTAAATTTTCTCCGAAAAAAAACAAACAAATAAATGCTAAGTTAAAATACTATCTTCTTTCCCTGAATTTCTTGTGGAATATTCATTAGTTAATTGAAAATAAGTTGATTTATCAGGTAGAATGTAAGAATTTTCACTTTTTGATGATATACCACTTGATATGATGTTAGTAGCAGTATTACAGGAAGGTGTGTGTTGTTTATAGATGGATGTATTTGATGCATCATTCAGATCAGTAGTTTGAGTAATACTAGAAGTAACCATATTATCAATAGTATCAATAGTATTTTTCTCATCGTGATGATTGTTTGGATTTATGTTAGTTTTAGCGTTTTTATTATGTATTGGTGTCTTCAATGTACGTCGACGTCCACGTAAGATGACAGTTGTCGGTTTATCATTTACATTTTTATTTACATGAGTTAATAAGTCAGTCGATTGGATTCCACCATTATTTGTAACAGCAATACTAATACTGTTACCAACGACATCAACGCCACATCGACTATCATTATCACTTTTAGTACATTCCATCATTTTATTATTGTCAGAGGAACTGATATTTTCATTACTAGTAGTATTAGTAGTAGTAATAACATTATCATTTGTATTGTTGTTTGTATCCAACTGTGCAATATTAATTGGTTTTTCTTGTGATAAGTCATCAATATGTCGGGAATGTTCATTCGGCAATAAAACCTGTACATTTTTATTGATTTGATCATCTGATGAGGATGTCTCCATGATGTTATTGGATGATAATTTCTTAGGATGATCAGTATGTGTTTGGAACCTCAATAAATTATAATCATCATTCAAGGAATAATTATCCACATTCATAGTAGTTAATGTTGGCATTTCAATATCATCGTCAGTGTTTTCATTATTATTATCATTCATAGTTTCAATCACTTCCGTTTCATGATCAAAAATCAGAGTATTCTCAACTTCTTTTTCATTGTCACCATCTGAAGATGAAATTGATATCAGTGGTCGTTGTCGTGGTTGTAATGATAACGATGATGTTGGTGATAATGGAACTTCTTTATGATCATGTTTCAATGTTGTTATTGTTGTTGTTTCTTCAAGCAACTTTATTTCATTATCGTCACCAGAATAATTCATACCATTACTACTAGTATTACGACTAATACAATTATTTTTATAAGTAGTAATGGTAGTAGTATTTTCTTGTTGATCCTGTTGTTGGTCACTGACTGTAAGCAGTTTACGTAATGCTTTAACTTCCATACTTAAACCACTTAATTCATTACGTAGACAACGATTTTCACTTTGTAATTTCTCTGTAGTTTCTGTACGTCCAAGTAGACGTGCACGTTTATTTTCTCGACAGCGACGTACTGCTTCATTATTACGGCGTCGACGATCTTGATAACGCTTGTCCAAGGTTGACGTACCTGAATTTGAATCACTTAGAAAATGTTCTACAAATAGAGGGAAAGAAAAACAGATTTTTCATGGGAAAGATATAATTATTGATTAAATACATGTCACATTTATTATTATTATTATTATCATTACTAATATTATTAACTACTTATTGAGTATATATTTGCGAACTCGAATTTAAACCATACTTTAAGTTCGAGGGCTGATAAGATTATTTAGCTTACCCCAAACTGAACTGAACTGGAGTAGGTTTCGAACCTGTGATTAAGTAGCTGGATATCAAACGGCTTAACAAACACTAGTCCACTTTTACACAATAAATATATACATATCATAAGAATTTTAGTGACTTTATTTAGAATATATGATGCATCAAACTATTAAATAGAATAAATTTTCCAAAACTCAAATATTCAGGATAAATAAATTATTCAACTGAATCTACTAGTTTCAGAGACAGAAAGATCCTCCTTTACGATAAAGTTGATACAATATTAAATGATTGGACGAAATTGGCATGAAATTGTGGACGTCGGTTTTCAATAAGACTGGGAGAATAACTAAAAATATGTCGTATGCATGATGATTGAACTATTTACGAAACGACTGATTGAGACATTCTCGCGGACTGATCACTGGGTGATAACCAAAGTTGTATGTGGTCACGTAATAGTTTGAAGTTCGATGAAAATTAGTAAGAGTTATAGATTAGAATTACGAGAAACAGTCGTTCATTTGACGAACATGAAGATAGTAAGGAAAAATCATATGGTGGTACAAATAATAACTTATTATCACGTAGGTAAAAATTAGAAGATGGTTAGAACTATGATTGTTGAATAAAACATGTGCCATATTGGCTAACATAGAGTTCCGACTTAATTGCTGGATTCATAGTCTTTTTATAGTAGACACGTTCTTACCTAGTACTCTGCAATCTCGTTAATTTTACTGTGATAATTGTAAAAAATAACTAAGAGTTTGATTATGTAAAGTAACTTGCACAAAACCCTTATTAGTGTGCCCAATAGTAGTTGGCTTCGAGAATTTACTTAAATACCACGACAAATCTTGGAGAGTGCAAGTATAAAGAAATAAGTAGAATAAAAACAAAAGGCAAGTCATGATGAATATGTGGAAATTTGTTAAACATTTAACTACTAACTACTACCAACCATGATGATACTGAGAACAAGATGACCTTCTAGCTTCATGTGATGTATGTACATTTTGTTTAAATAGGAAACTAGATAACAATAGTCTACACATATTTCCATAGTTCATAAGTTTTTTTTCTCTACCATACTTTAATTTTTGCTTAAAACAGGAATGCTTTGTTCACCTTTATTTACCTATTTTTTTATTGATCTTATCATATTTAATAATCAGTATGTAGGTGGAACAAAAAACAATAAAATACAGGAACGACAACATGATAGCGCAATCAACCATATATAATATCAGTCTGGACTATTTGTATGTGCATGTGTGTATGTCTCATTATTACACTAAATACACATATACGGAAAATTTCTCTCCTAACATCAATCCAATACATTGATTCTCATCAGAGAATAACTAGTCAAGATGAGTTTTTTTTCATTTTCATTTCTAATAAGTTATTTTTTTGCTTTCATTTATTAAGAAAAAAGTGTACCATCATAACACACAGTACTAAAATCACACTGCCACTATTACTAATATTAGCCAAGGTTACAAATAATGAGTCATACTCTATTATTATTATTATTATTATTATAAGCCTCATCATTTGTAGTAATAGTACCGTATGTAAACAAGGCATTTTTTACAAATTGTCCAGACTAATAAAACTAATGAATTTAGAACCTCTATGGATAGTTCATGTCATTTTGTTAGGGTAATATATATCCCCCCTCTATCTATCTATCTATATATATATGACTGAAAATGTAGGCGTTAATATACTATTTAAATCTTTATTATTTGATTGGTTCATTTGGATAAATGAATATAGAGTTAGTCAAATGTATTACTCTATTGGTCTGATCAGTCATCTCTATCCAAGTTGATGATTTGCTTGGCTATACACAATACATGTTCTAATATTAATCTTTTTTTTAAAAAAACAAATGCATAATTGCAATAATTTTTACCATATGCATATGGTACATTAGAATGATAATAACCATGACCATTACTACTACCACTACTACTACTACTACAGTATTATGTGTATTTGCTGCGTCATCATCTCTATTGTGCGATGACGCTACAAATTAAAGACCTGTGTATGACACAGAATAGTATTCAATGAAGATTTAAAAATACTGAATGTACTCGTACGTACACACACATATATATACATACAAGTAGTGTACTACACGATGCTGCTGACTAATATAATAAATAGTCTCAGTCCCCAAGGTCAAACAAACAACGAAAATACACGGTCTAAAGATAAAGAGAATGTGTTATTTTTAAAAAAAAAGATTACTTAGGGGTAGGAAAAAAATTTAACATAAGTGTGTGTTGGAAGTATAAAAAATAGTACGTTTCGATGAGTGACTGGTTGGTTGGCTAGCCAGCTGGTTAGACAAATGCACTACTACTATTATTATTAATAAAGCTAGTATATACGTTTCCTTAATATTACTATATATTCAAATATGCAAGCAGATTGACGGGAGAATGCAGTATTTTACAAAAATACAAGGTTGATTGTTATCGTTTATCTACAAATATTGAATATCAATCTGTATTGTTTATTTACTGATGTCTGCGTATATATATACATATATATATATATTGTGAGGTATAAAAATTCTCTATCTCACTCGTTACGAGGGTCTTTGACAGTTTTCAATAGTAAATAATAGTAGACGAATCCCATTATGGTAATATAACACTCAGACAGTAGTTTAAAGGACTTTAAAAAAACTCCATTACTTCTACAGTCATATAATGTTTTATCGTATTCACTACGAGAGAAATATAAAAGAGAGAAGAGTTTCGTTATATGCACAATATAAAAGTGACTAGGTAATTTCTTTGTCATAGTCTGAATAGCTTGACACGATAACATTTATTTACTTATTTATTTGTTTATTTATATATAAGGATATAAACAACAAAACAAACAGTCCTCGGTAATATTGACAATGAATTTATCTACTTGCATACACATACTGAACTCCCTTTTGTCAGTGACAATAACAATCAAAAATATCACATAAAAATTACACAACATGAAAATCAGAAATCTTTTTTTCTTGAAAAGAAAGTATTTAATTAAGCAGAAAATTTCCTGACTAATACAAATTTATATAGTTGAAATCATGAGTCAATTGAAGCTAGACCACTTGTATAACATATGATAACAAAATTTGAAGAAAGGTAACTAATTTCAAATAAAATTAGCTGAACAAACCAATTGAATTCTTGCAAAACGATTCTTGGGTTCGAATTTCGCGAGTGCGGGATCGTGGATGTGCACCGTTGAGGAGTCCCAAAATAGGAAGAAACGGCCGTCTAGTGCCCCCAGGTTTTCCATGGTAATCTAGCTTCAATTGACTCATGATCTCAACTATATAGTATTTTGAATTGTTGAAATGATTCATAGAATTCAGGTCAATGTATAGTGCACATTAACTATATAAAATTACTAAAACCTCCACAAAACCCCCTTCTGATAATAATACAAATTTAAACAAGTATATTATCTATAGTTTATTCGAGGTTGATACAATGAAGAGGAAAAAACCTCGTTCAAAATTGAAAAATACATTTTTAATTGAGAGAGTTCAATCACTATGGCTGATAATGACAATTATCATTATGAAAAATGGATTGGATAATAGCTGAAATACATTGTAAGTTAGAAAATACACACTAGTACTTGTTAGTAGATTAAAATTTATTAGTTTCAATACCTGACAACATAACTGTGTATTATGTTATTACTCAGTTTCTTATGATTCCATCCTAATGATTACTTGCTTACTTACGCCTGTTATCCCTCGTGGAGGAGCATATGCCGCCCACCATAACTTTCCATCCAACTCTGTCATGGAAAATCCTTTATAGTTGCTATTCATCCTTTTGATGTCTGCTTCCAATTCTCAACGTAGTGTGTTCTCCGGCCTTCCTCTTTTCCGTTTCCATTCAGGATTTCAAGTAAGCCCTTGCTTCATGATGTACTTTGATGATTTCCGTAATGTATGTCCTATCCACTTCCATCGTCTTTTCCTAATTTCGTATTCAACTGGAAGCTGGTTTGTCCCTTCTAACAATAAGCTCCTGCTGATGGTATGCAGTCAACGGACATTTAGTATCTTACGTAGACAATTTTTTATAAATACCTCTACCTTTTTGATGATAGTTGTAGTAGTTCTTAAAGTTTCGACTACGTACGGTAGAAGTGTCTTGATGTTTGTATTGAAGATTGTGACTTTGATAACGGTTGACAGTTGTTTCGAGTTCCATATGTTCTTCAGTTTTAGGAATGTAGTCCTTGCTTGTCTGCATCGGATCCTCCTTGATCATCAATAATGCTGACCAGTTACATGAAAGTTTCCAACTCTTCCAGAATTTCTCCATCAATTGTGATTGCGCTGGTGTTCTCTGTGTTGCATTTGAGGATCCTGCTTTTTCCTTTATGTATGTTGAGACCTACTGCTGTAGAGGCTGCTGCTACACTGTTTATCTTGACCTGAATGTTTTGGTGTGTATGAAATAGAATGGCTAGTTTATCTGAGAAGTCAAAATCGTCTAGTTGCATCCACACAGCCCATTGTATTCCGTGCTTCTCCTCAGTTGTGAAGGTCGTCATAATTAGGTCGACCAACAGAAGAAAGGGGAAGACGAGAGTGAGCAGCCTTGTTCGACACCAGCCTTAACTTGGAATGCATCTGCTAGTCGTCCTCTATGCATCAGTATGCAGTGTAGTCCAACGTATGAACTCCAGGTGATCTTTACGATTTTCTCATGTACACTATAGTGTCGAAGAAATCCGTGTGACAGCATTCAATAATTTTGGTCAGTCTATTATTTATTT